CAAATTTCTTTATTCGGACTCAACTTTTTTATGACTTTTTTGTTATATTAGCAGCACTCTCTTCAATATTCAGGACTCAACTTTTTTTATGTTTAGATTAGATTGTAAACAAATATCATTTTCAAATGATTAACTAAAGGGAAATTTTCATCTATTCTACAAGATTTAGATTTATTTGCGATTTTGCAGCTACTATAAGTTTAATTGCATATGTACATAAAACTATTGAATTAATACGAGATTTACTTGATTTCAGTTACCATACAAAAAAAATTGACTCATAAGAGAGAGAAATGAAAATAAATAACTTACTCATTGAATACCTTAATTCGCGCAACTAGAATTCCTTAATTCATCGATAAATTTCTTTATCATATACCGCACATATACTGAATATAAACCATACATATATATATATATAAAAAAACCAGTTTATGCTTTGTTAAATTTGTTTTCTAACAAAAAAATATTCTAATATACCGAACATAAACTGTAATAATCCAACTTCTTGTTAATATAAATGACGTATTACCTTTTATTAATTCCCTTCATTTTCAGCGAATAAGTTCGACGTTAAGTCGAAAAGTTTATCCGGTTAATTATTAACCGAGTCCAATTGATAATTAGTTTCCGAACCGTTTATTTTATAAATGGACATTATTAATCGGGATTAATTATTAATAGTTTAGCATGTTCGGAATTAAATTCGAGGTTGAAACTAAGCTAAGTTGAGAAAGAACGAAAGGTACACGAAGCATACGCATGTACACGCACTCATGCACGCATGCCGTGCACACAGCCACACACATGAACGCGCATCGCGCGCAGCACTGCGCATCGCGCCTTAGCGCGCGCGTTAAGTACTCGCTAAGCACGCACTTAGGCGATGCTTAGTGACATGATCAGACCAAACTTCCACCTTAATATTACCGTGAGGAAAAATGCAAGGATAAAGGTTGGGTGTGCAAGTGGGGTGATGAATCACCTATGTGCTTGCACACACGGCGCGCCACGGACGCACGGGCGATGACTAAGCCCGTGCATGGCCGCCACCTCGGCAATGACTAAGTCAAACTCACCCACATTTCAGCCACGTTTACGCCACTTGGTGTTAGGAGACACAAGGTCATCAATCACCTTCTTTCACCCCAAATTAACCCTCGGTTTTACTCCTTTAAATAACCGAGCATGTGGAACGTTTTCCTCATGCATTTTCACGTGAGTTCAGCCAACTTTCAGCGTAATAAATAGAGAGAAAATAGTAAGGAAATATTGTAGAAAAATAGTATGAAAATATCTAAGTATTGCCGAAGCAAAGGGGAAGTATAAGGACATTGGCGGAGCAC